GAGCCTATCCTGGCACTCGCTCTGGAGACCATGCTGGCCTCGACCTCACAGCGATAGACCTGCCTCTGCCTCTCGAGTGCTGGGATTAAAGGCGTGCGCCACCAACGCCCGGCAATACTAGTCTTTAATCTGATACATGGCATCGCTAAAATTAAGGCAGAGGCTTGCTCCACTCCATTCTTTAGCTTCATGAGAGTCTAACTTTATGGCAGAGGGATTGGTGGGAGCCATGTTTATTGTCAAAACTCTGTGGAGTTTCTAAGTCCATGTCAACACCAGAAAGCAGGCAGCTGGATGCGCATAAACTCCATGTAAGTGTTTGGTAGCAGGGCCTCTTAAAAGATGCTTGAGTTTTTTGCTTCTAACCCTAAATCAGGAAGCCTCTCTTAAAGGATCTGAGATTCTGCTTGCCTCTAGCACACAGAACACACTCAAGAAAATGCTGCTACCAAGAAGCCATGCTTGATTCTGTTTGTGTGTGTGTGTGTGTTTAGAGACCCTGGCCACCCTCTCACAGGATGTATGTAGATGTAGTTGTAGACAGCATTTGTGGACAGAAGTTTCTGTCCCACTTGGTCCCACAGCTGTTTAAACCCAAATAAACACAAATAAACTGTATTTCCTATGGTTCAGGCTTCTTATTGGCTAGCTCTCTCTTAATTATTAACCCATTTCTATTCATCTGTGTATTTCCACATGATCTTTGCTTACCAGAGATATGTGGACCTCTTGCTTCCTGGGAAGCTACATGGTATCGCCTTGACTCTGCCTACTACAATTATCTCTCCCTGTTTGTATTTCCTGCCTAGCTAAATCCTGCCTGTCCATTGGTTTATGCATTAATCAATAAGAGAAACATATATTCACAGCATACAGAAGCACATTCATCATCACCTTTCAGAATAGCTAAAATCAAAAACACAGTTGATAGTTCATGCTGGAGAGGAAGTGAAGCAAGGGGAACATATGTTCACTGCTAGCAGGAGTACAAAGTTGTATAATTACTTTGGAAATCAATATGGAGGTTTCTCCAAATATTGGAAATTGATCTACCTCAAGACTCAGCTATATCACAAGGACACTTGCTCATCTATGTTCATAGCAGCTTTATTCTTAATAGCCAGAACCTGGAAAAACCTAGATGCCCCTCAACTAAGAATGGATTTAAAAATGTGATATATTTACACAATGATGTATCACTCAGCTGTTCAAAACAATGACACCACGAAATTTTCTGGCAAACAAATGGAACTAGAAAACACCATCCTAAGTGAGGTAACCCAAACCCAGAAGGTCAAATATGGTATGTACTTACTTATAAGTGGCTATTAGCTACAAAATAAAGGATAAACTGCTACAATACACAAACCCTGAGAAGCTAAGCAACAAAGAGGGACCAAGGGGAAATGCATACATCTCCAGAAGTATCAAGGACACCACAAGAAAACCCACAAAATTAATTAATCTGGACTCAAAGGAGCTTAGAGACTGAACCAACAACCAGGGAGCCTACATGGTACTGACCTAGACACTCTGCATATATATGACAACTGTGTATCTTGCTCTTCTTGTGGGACTCCTAGCAATGGGAGCAGGGGCTGTCTCTGACTCTTTTGCTAACGTTTTTGATACTTTCTTCCTGACAGTTGACTCACTAGTAAGAGATCTCCCCACTTTCTTTATGAAAGTACTTAGTGCTTGGAACTTTGTGCTCAGCACCACTTTTATTGATTGTGTCCCATAAGTTTAGATATATTGTATATTCATTTTCATTGAATTCTAAGATGTCTTTTTTCTCTGTTTAGTTTCTGTCTGAATAATTTGTCCATTTGTGAGAGTGGATTGTTGAGGTGTCTCATTATTAATGCCTAGAGTTTGGTGTATGATTTAAGCTTTAGTAATGATTCTTTTATAAATGTGGGTGCTCTTGCATTTGAGAGAAAAATCCTTGAACAAAGTGGAAGCATGAGGGTAGAGAGGAAGGAGGTGGGAAGGGAGGAAAGATGGAGGGGAAGTAGAACAAGAGCTCTGAGACAGGGGAGGAATAAAGGAGGGCAAGAAAGGAGATGCCTTGATAGAGGGAGCCAGTACAAGTATGGATAAAGGTCTGGCACAGGGGAAATGTTAGGGGATCCACAAGGGATGACCCCAACTAAGAATTCAAGCTGTGGTGGAGAAGATTCCATTGATGCCTTTCCCCTATAATAAGATTGATATCTACCTTGGGTACCATTCCTAGAGCCTATGTCCAGTAGCTGTTTGAAGCAGAAACAGGCACCCACAGCTAAACACTGAACCATACTCCTGGTATGCAGTTGTGGAGAGGGAAGAGGGATGAGCAAAGGAGCCAAGATGGTGCTGCAGAAATCCACAGAAACAGTTGACCTGACCTAGTGAGAGCATGGATACCCTAGTCATAAAGCTGGGGAAACAGCATTGGACCAAACCAAGCCATCTGAATGTGGGTGCCAGCTAGGAGGCCAAGACAGTCTATAGGATTTCTAATAGTGGAGCCAGTCTTTATCCTTAGAGCACAAATGGACTTTGGAAGCCCATTTCCTATGGAGGGATACTATTGCAGCCTAAATCAGGCAAGGAGGGCCTAGGCCCTCCCCCAAATTATATGGCAGACTTGGAAGGTCCCTGGTGGAGGGTCTCACTATCCCTAGGGAGGAGTTGGGGAATAGGTTGGGGAGACTGTTGGGGAATATGGGAGGATGGGCGAGCGAGGGAATGCAGGGATGAATATGTAAATATTAGTAGTAATTAAAGAATTTAAATATAAATGGAAAAATAAAAATAATTAAAATTTAAAGCTATCTTTGGTGATGGAGTGTGGTTTTCTCCTTCTCTAAACCAAAGAATACTTGTTAGAAGAAAATCCAATGTCTCATGTCAGAAGAGCCACCTATTATGAGACAGAAGAAGACCAAACTTAAGGGATTATTTTATTGCCACTAATTTCAAAATCCTTTGGTTTTATTTTAGTCTTTAAAATTTTCTTAAGGCATAAATATATCAAATATATCTGACATGATATTAATGATCACATAAAATAGAAACTAATTCTAGAAATACACTTCACTACAAAGGGGTCAAGACCATGCTGGGGAAACCCACAGAACCATACTCAAATTGGACATGCAGGACACAAAAGAAGATGACTCTCAAATTTTGCCAAGAAAAGGTAGGATAGTCCTTTGAAATTACTGCTTAACAAAATATCTGTCAGATATTATAGGCCTGAAGGCCAAAGACATATTCCCTGATATTTCAGAGGAATCTTGGGGTGCTGTACAGGCATCCAGACAGTTGTCACTGCTGTTTCTTAGTTTTGGAACCTGCTTGCTCTACACTTCCTATTCAATCAGGTTTTATATATTTCTGAGATGCTCTTATGAGGGCCATGATAGGGAAGGAAAATTGATTTGTATAGGGGTTAGTTATGTTATTATAGGGGTTAGATAGTTATGTTATCTTGTGTGTGTGTGTGTGTGTGTGTGTGTGTGTGTGTGTGATGTGTTTTATTTGTATCCTATTTTGTTATGAACTAGGCCTTGAAATTACATTGATGTGCAATTAACCAAAATTGTATAGTAGTTAGAGCTGAGTCAAGCATAGTAGGGACATTTCCTTATGCATTTTTCCTTGTCACAAAGTTTCACACTGACATTTTAGGGAACGTTGCTGGAAGGTTTTGTTATTGATAGTGGCTTTGAAAATCCTATAGTGTGCCCTCAAAAGATGATTCTGTTTTTATTTTGTTTGGATGAGAAGGATAAATGATTTGTCTTAGTATGTGTGAGATTAAGGTGAAATAGGATACTTAAGGAGGTGGACATTGCTTGGAATGATGATTCAGACTGGTGACTTTCTCAGAATGATCACAAAACACTGTTGAGATAATTGAAAGAAGCAATTCATTAAAAATACTTTACTTTTTTCTGGAAAGGAAAACTAAATTAAATATAAATGATAGATGATTATTCTGATAAAACATAGAATGGCCAAAACATTTCATACATGTTAGAGGAATTTTTTTTTAATATTTGAAGACAATGGTAAATTCACTAAAAGAAATGTTTCATGGAAAAGTGATTTCTTCTGCAATTATAGTCAGTTCCCTAACTTCTTTTGAGACAGTGGTGGGAGCTTTTACAAGTACATAGTTATAGGTAATACTTTTCTGGAATGCACCTGACTGACAGATAAACATGGAGTAATCTCTGGAGACAAAACTCCTACTCAAACAAGTTAGATAACCAAAGAAAAACCAAAGTAATTCCACCATAGTCCAACTTCATGTACAAAAGAATTTATTGGAATTATTTACTTACAGGAGCATGGAAGAGTCAGCCAGGTATAGCTCCCATTCAGCATAGGTACAGTCATATAGCTGTAGTTTCACAGGTCGTTTCACAGATCAGAGAAATTTGTTCAGGCACTCGGGATAGTCAGAAAGAGTCCTTACTCCAGAAATTATTTAACACCTCTGTGATTTGGATAGAGGTACTTGTCTTTTTATCTTTTTTAACTCTCTAGAACTTAGGTTCTCAACTTTCCTAATGCTACAGCTCTATAATATAGATCCTGCTGTGTGATAACCCATAACCATAAAATTATTTTGTTGCTCTTTCATAAGTGTAATTTTGTTAATTTATGAATCATAATGTAAATATCTGATAAGAAGGAAATCTTATATGCAATCCCCTTGAAAGTGTCATTAGCCACCACCATGCCCAGTGAAAAAATGATGAAGCCTTTTAGAAAAGTCTATTCCTCAAATGAGAACAACTTTATCGCAAAAGAAAAGAAACTGGTACTGTGACTTCTTATGTTAGTCTCATATAATCTAATTATCTAAACTTAGAAAATGTCATCCTTAATCTGAGTGTCTATTTACTAGGGGCAAAATATAAATGTCTACCCATCTATGTCTAAAGTTACAAATTGAAAAACTTGCTTGTAAATCATGAGGCACTATATCACTGACAGACACTTTAAGGTGTAACATGGAGTGAACCCCTTGGGCAGAGATTTTGCTGCAACCTTCTCAGAGCACACTTGACATCAGTGTTCTTCAGGCTGTAGATCAGAGGGTTTAGTGTTGGAGGTAACACAGTATATAACACAGAAAACACCCTGTCTGTAATTGATGGCACATGTGAGGGTAGCTTCACGTAGACAAAGCAAGCTGTAGCAATGAAAAGAGTGAAAACAGTGAGGTGGGGGATGCATGTGGCAAATGCTTTGGACTGACCTTTAGTAGTAGGAATCTTAAGCACAGTGGAGAAAATGTAAGAGTAAGAGATCACAACACAGATAAAGCAGAAAACGCCTATACAAACACCAATTCCAAGACTTGAATAAATTACCACAAGTGTTTTGGAGCATGACATCCTTAGCAATGAGGGAATATCACAAAAAATCTGTGGTATCACATTAGAGCCACAGAAAGGCATAGAAAATGTGCCAGCTGTATATATGGCTCCAATCATTACCCCAATAGTCCAGGAAACAGCCACCATAAGCACACAAGTATCACTACTCATTATGGCTTGATAGTACAGGGGACTACAAATGGCCACATAGCGGTCATAGGACATAACTGTCAGGATAAATACTTCTCCTGCTGCAAATGAAGTCGTTAAAAATACTTGGAAGATACATCCAATAATGGAAATGGAATTGTTGTATGTTAAGCTGTTGACAAAGTAATTTGGGATTGGAACAGACACAAATAAGGCATCCAACATAGACAAATTCTTCAGGAAGAAGTACATAGGTGTTTGAAGCTGCAGGTCAAGGGTGATAAGAGTGATGATGATCAGGTTACTTATTAGGGCTGCCAAGTACATCACAAGGAAAAATACTCCACATAAGGTCTGTAAGTCCTGGATATCAGAGAACCCCATAAGGATGAATCCAGTTATTGCAGTGACATTGGACATAGTAGACTCTTTTCTGGCCTTTCAACAGGAAAAAAATAAGTAAAAATTTCCGTGACCCCAAATGATAACATTGATGTACAGAAATGCTCTGTGAAAAAAAGGAGTAATAACTTAAAAACAAGAAACTTGGTTATTGATTTAAAAGGTAAGTTTAAAAAAAAAACTGTACTGCACTCCCATGAATTGATGTGTTTATTATCTGCTTCAGAAGCCAGGCTTTAGATAGCAGTGGTAATTAATGCTTCCGACATTATACCTAATTGTTGTGAACAGCAAATCCTATTTGACCACTCACTTCAGCCTGTGTGTTCCTGCTGTTTTGAATAATCAAATGCTGTGCATTGTCTCTACCTGAGCTGCAACCTGTTACAGACTTGAACTTCTGTTAAGTTGGAAGCAAGAATCCCTGACTACAAACCATATATAAATAAATGAATAAGTCAAAATAAGGATGGAAAAGTTCTGAATGAGTCATTGCTGATGTTTTAAGATAGTCTTGCTTTCAGCTTCCGGGAGTTAATTTTTTTGTTTAATTTGATAATCCAGACATGGTTGATTTATCTTGGGTTTAAACTGTGGTGCTTTCATGTTTACTGTAATTTAGTTTTACAACATTTTTTACTTATTAACCAGTACTTTTGATAATGTGGTGGCAACAAACCAGCAACTATTTAGAAGTATTACAAGACTTCATTCTTGAGTATTGGGAAGCTCATTCCAATCCCACTCAAAGCTCCTGTACAAGGTAAAGAGAAACCATGGATCTGTATAGAGGAATGATCTGCAGTTAATTGAACTAGCCTGATTTGCAGTGATCTTTAGCTCTACAAAATCTCGTATTACTGTTTAAAGTCATTTCTTTTGGCAAATTGTCTGACCCAGTTATTAATGAATGAATATGTATTTGAAATTTTTTAAACTAAATAATTTGTGCTGTCACAGAAAAAAAGGGAATGTTCTATGGAAAGGAGTCAAGAAATTACACTTAAGGTACATTCATTTCCAAAGATTATTTATTTCTCCCTTACTCTCATACCCTCACTTTCTTTCTCCGTCTCTCTCCTTACTGTATATCTGTATACTCTGCCTGCCTCTTTCTCTATACTTTTGCCTTCCCTTAATGATGACTTTCTTCCTTCATCTCTCTCTTTCTCTCTGTCTCTGTCTCTGTCTCTGTCTCTGTCTCTGTCTCTCTCTCTCTCTCTCTGTGTGTGTGTGTGTGTGTTTGTGTGTGTGTGTGTGTGTGTGTGTGTGTGTGTGTGTGTGTCTTTCCTTGGATTGTCCTTAAGGCTCTGTATATTCTAACTAAATCTATAACTGAGCTATAGAACCTTAACTCCTCACCATTTTAAAATAAAGTATGAGTAGCATGAGCAATGTGTGATATATATTACCCTTATATTGTTTAAAGTATATAGTCATAATTAATCTAGGAAGAATTTTTGTGGTTTGAAGAGATCTTTATTGGATTAAGGTCTCTTTATTTCAAAGCACAGCCGGGTGAAACACAGGCCAGAGCTAGGTTAAGAACCCAGCCAGCACGGCCAGAACAAAA